TCCAAAAGTGTCTTTCCACTGCTTATAAGGAGGATATTTCTTCTTATCAATCTTCTCTATTATTAAGAAAAAAACAATAAATTTGTGGCTCTCTATCTAAATGAACTCGTGATACTGATTTTCCTAGTACTTAAATGTATCTGAAATAAAATTAAGACTAATTAGTCTGTCCCTGCCAGGCATGCTTGAAAGCGACTATAGTGTTTGTTTATTTGTTTGTTTGTTTGTTTGTTTATTTATTTTTGGTATGTGCCCCTAGTGAGAACCGAACCCAGGACTCTCTGGTCCTCAGGCTGACGCTCCAACTGCTGAGCCAAACCGGCCAGGGTGAAAGCAACTATAGTGTTTAAAAAATAACTATTTTATATAAAGGGATAGTATTTTAATAACAAGCATTAAAACTTGAGTCATTCTCATAATGTTTATCTAAACAGTGCAATAAATTTAGGTCAGGTGGCTAATATTCCTATAAAATAATTATATTGTCTATAACGGGGACCGTGTGGAGTCCTCTTTGAAGAGGCACCTGATGGTTTTCACCTCCTGGTACTCCTGTCCCTCCACACACACACATTGATTAGGATCACCCTGGGCAATCCACTAACTACAGGAATGAGAGTATGACACCTGAGCCTTGGTCATCAAAGATATAGCAGCTTCTACCTCGTTTTATCTTGGATCACTAGTCCTGGGGCATCATGTTGACAGTCCAGCAGTTCCATGAAATCCACATAGTGGTTAACTGAACCTTCTGTCAATAACCAGTACTAACTTGTGGGACATGGGAGTGAGCTATCTTGGAGCAGATCCTCCAGCCCTCCTCCAGCCTTCAGATGACCAGTCACAGGGACAGCCAGACTGCAACCCGATGAGATGTCCTGAGCCACAGACGTACAGCTAAGCTGCCCCTGATTTCCTGATCCAAGAAACTATTTGAGATAATAAATGCTTACTATTTTAAGCTAAATTTTGGGTTAACTTGTTACTTGGCAATAGATAACTAATAATTTTAATATATACGGGGAAAAGAACATGGGCCGAGAGGTTGACAAATCTAAAATGTATCTTGATGGCAACATAAAGTTGAGTGCTCCTGGACAGGTTATTATGAATCTCATCTCATTTTTTAAAAATATGTTTTTATTGATGTTTTAGGGAGAGAGGAAGGGAGAGATAGAAACATTGATTGGCTGCCTCCTGCATGCCCCCTACTGGGAATCAAGCCCACAACCGGGCATGTGCCCTGACCTGTAATTAAACCAGGACCTCTCAGTCTGTGGGACAACACTCAATCCACTGAGCCACACCGGCCGGGCTCATGTCTCATGTCTCATATTTGTCATCAGTAAATTGAAAATAATAATGATTTTCTTAGTACTTAATGTATCTGAAGTAAAATTAACAAGCATTAAAACTTGAGTCATTCTCATAATGCTTATCTAAACAGTGCAATAAATTGCACCTCACAGAGGTCTGAGGAATAAATAAGTATTTAATGAGCCTGGAAAGTGATTTGTCCTCAGTAAGTATTTGCTTTATTTCTGTTCTTCAAATTATGCTTAGTTTGACAAGACTTCTTTTTAAAGGTTTTCAGGTGGATTATGCCGGTACATAGAGATGGATTTTACAGGATGCAGAACTTGATGTAGAATAAAGACTAGAGATGTTCAGGTACTGTCTCTGTTTTTATTTGTTTGTGCTTATTTGTTTATATTTATTTTAATGATGAGCTGACTTTTTTAAAAGTATTTTTATTGGTATTTTAGAGAGAGGAAGGGAGAGAGAAATGGAAACATTGATATGTGAGAGAAACATGGATAGGCTGCTTCCTGTATGTCCCTACTGGGGGTCGTGCCTGCAACCAGGGTATGTGCCCTGACCAGGAATTGAACCAGGACCTCTCAGTCCATGGGATGATGTTCAATCCATTGAGCCACAGCAGCCAGGCTGACTTTTTTTTTTTTTTTTTTTTTTATGTTTTTATTGATTTTTACAAAGAGAGAAAGCGAGAGGAAAAGAGAGACAGAAACATTGATGAGAGAGAAACATCAATGGGTTGCTTCCTGTATGTCCCCCACTGGGGATCGAGCCCACAACCCAGGCATGTGCCTGACCTGGAATCGAACTGGCAGCCTCCTGGTGCATGGGTCGACGTTCAGCCACTGAGCCACACCAGCCGGGCAAGATCTGACTTTGAAGATATTGATTTAAGAGATGTGCATTTTTATAAACCTTCCCTTAAGTAGAAGTGAAGAAAGTGTGTAAGTTATTTCTGAATATTTTTATCAGCCCCAAGTATAAAAGATCTCTAGGTAATAACACTTCTCCAGGTCTTGCAAAAACTCCTCCACTCTGACAGGTTCATGCTCCAGTTAAAGACCTTGAAGTCAAGAGAATAACCTGGAAACATGCTGTGTAGCTTTCTTCTCTGTGTCTACCTTGATTCCACTTTTTTTGTGTGTCTTTGACTAAATAAATTGGAAAATTATAAGTGAGTGTTTTTATGTGCAATCTTTCATTTTGCTAATTCATAATTGATCTACTGTATCTTTATCTTTTGCATTTAACATTGACATTTCAATTGATAAACTCTGAGGGGCCATACATAACTTAAACTAGATGCCATTGAAAAGGGATTAAATTCATGAACTCTATGTGAAGATTTGCAAGACTTCTTGGGTTCAAATCCCAGCTCAGTCACTAACTGTACCAACTTGTGAAAATTACTTAAAAACACTCTGTGCTTTTGTCTCTCCAAAGCAATATAAAGAAAATAATGGTATCTATCTTATAGGTTCATTATAAAAATAAGCTGGTTAATATTTATTAACAATTTAGAACACTGCTTGTCAAATAGCAGGTGCTTGTTAGTCTTACCTTTTGGTAAGGTAAATATTTGAATGTGCTGGGTTCTGAAACTAGCATGTAGACCCACTCAACAACCAGAATCTTCCTTTCTCCTATTTCCTGCATATATTCAAATGTGCTATAATATTGAGGGGAATTTATATATTCTAATGGTGTTTGAATATTTGAATAGTTCCTCAACTATAACCATAACAAATGATAAATGTATACTTTTCTCTGAAATGAAAATATGTTTGCCCTTTACATGTGTGTTTGACTTCATAGCTCCTAGATTTTTTATAGGTATGTAAGTGTGCTGGAGAGGAACACGGATTGGGGCAAATCAAACCCACCTTTTAGAGAAGTGGTTTTACGCTTCTTTGAAAGTCTAATGAAAGCTATAGTCCATCTCCTCAGTAGGAAAAAAATCACCGAGGTTATGACTATGAGTACCAATTGGCATTTTGCTCTATTTGCTATAGATCAAAAAAGTTGACTAAGGATTACTGTAGCCTTTTTTGTTTTTAATGGTTGCTGCATTTAGGAAAGGGAAAGAGAAAATGAGAGAGAGAGAATGAGAGAGCAAGAGAAAGAGAGCAAAATAACCAAAAGCCAACCAAAAAAACAAACAAAAAATTCAGGACATCACCTCACAAAATACTGGAAGCAAAATAGACTTTAACAAATAAGTTCTCATTTGTACTACTGAGAATAATTGTTAGATTTTAGAAAGGAATGACACAAACTCAAAAGTGACTTTGAAGATATGTAAAATAGTTTGTCATTATTTAAACTGTTTTTAAAATTATTATTATTACTATTTTGTGGAGATGCTGGGATGGGGGTGCTGCAAGGTCATCCTATGAAGGGGAATTTCTGCACAGGTTTGGATTGAGGTTCCATTCACCCACCCCATATGTACCAGAGAAGTGTTAACATTCATAGATACTACTTTGGGGGCTTCCAATTAAGATTGCATTTGGATAAAGGATTTCGTAACTTTGAAAGGATTGAGAATCACTCTAGATGATTGACAATAGAAATAATAAAAAACAAATAAACATCTTAACCTGGATAACTAGAATCTGAGAAGGATGTATTAGCAGATACATAAATCTTATAGGGTGTGACAAGGATGACCCCAGAGAGGTGTGTCTTATTCTAAACACATAAAAGCATGGGGCTTCCATGAAGCCACAGAGAGGTAGATTTAGAATCAGTAAAAGCATTAATTCATTAGTAAAAATAATTAAAAATTGAATATCCCAACTTGTAGAAGAGGTTCTATACAAAACAGCCGCAACATTTTTTAGGTGAAACCACAGTCACGTTTCAACCAAACATCTTCTTGAATACATCCCTCCCTAGTTTAAAGGGACATATATATAGTATAGAAAATACCCTTCCCTCTGAGCTCCATCTTCCAGTTAATCCACAGGGGTCCCACTCCTCTCTGAGAGCTGACAAGACCAACTGAAGAGGTCTGAATGAGTTGACTGGTTAAAATTAAAGAGGAAGTAGTCAAGTCCCAACTTGTGTTGTTCAAACGCTCTTGCCAAGGCCGTCTGAGGCTACTCAAGGGGACTATTATTTGAGCTGAAGTTAGAGTAGCCTTAAAATCCTGTTGGATAGTCCCTTAGCTGTATGTTTTATTTCTTCTACAGCCCCTTCAGTGACAGAATGCCTAGAACACGGTGAGCTATAAAACAAAATGTTGACTGTCTTGAGGGAGAGGAAGGCACGTGAAAGGGTTGAGCTTACGGAGGAAGTCGGGTAGAAGCGGCACTGATCACCTCGGGAGCGCTCTCGTGGAACCTGGGCCCAGGTCCTTTAAAAGCTGGTTTACTTCCCAACTGAACCTGTTGCCAGCAAGAGCAACGGTGTGTGGTTCAGAAGAGAGGCGAAGAAATAAACCATTCAGCGATGAGGGATTTGTAAGCATTTCTGAGATCATATAAACCAAAGTGGACATTTCTCCTTGACGCTATTAGCTACTCTTCCTTCCCACATGGGCCCCTTCAGTTTGCTTGCCTGCAAGGAGGCTGTTAAGAATCATTCAAGCCAGTTAAAGAAATTGCTCAAAGTAAGAATCTGAAACACAAACACATTAGCTCAAAGTGCTTGGAACACAGTAACAATCACAAAGTCCTTACTTCTTTTCTCCTTTGTACCATTCAAAGGCCGGAGGCGGCACACCTGCACCTTCGCATCTTATCAATCCACTGCGTCCGGGGGACACGGTGCCAGATTTAATTTCCTGAATAGTAGGAGCAACTGGAAAAGAAACAAAAGAAAATAAACTGGTGGGTAAGTAAAAATAATCAGAAATTCAGCAGAAATATAACACACATATATTTCCATTCCTTCTATATTCAAAGCAATCTTATGCCTGATAGGCCAATGCATCACATTTTCAGTGTTTCATGCTTCTAATACAAGACTAGTCACTTTCAGCTTCATTTTTCCAGTTGGACAATAGATGAATGTTCCCAGGGAGTGCAGAGTAAATGCAATACATTTCGGCCTTGCTTCCTATTAGAAAATGGCATTGGTGAGGGACACACTTCATCTGTACTCCAGTCAAACTATACTCCAATAATAGCTCTCATATATTGAGTGATCACTGGGAGCCAGTCACTGAGCTAGGTGATTTTTGTTCATGATTTTCTCACAGTAATACTCTAAGCTAAATGGTATTATCCCAATTTTACAAATGTAAAAACTGAAACCCAAGAGAGGTTGAATAATTCATTTAAGGTCACACAGCTGCTTAGCTATAGAATTTGGATTTGAAGTCAGGCATGTTGACTCAAAGCCTGAGTTTTTACAATAGTCTGTTTTTTCCTGTTTACTCCCCAGGCAGGAGCTCTTGAGTATTTTTTTTTTTTTTTATGTGGTTTCTTCTACTTGGAATGCTGTTCTTCCTCATTTCCACAGATTCAAGCGTGAATTTAGGTGTTACCATCTCCAAACTCTTCCCTCTTGCTTGAAACAGTTTTCCCTTCTCTGAGTAGTTTTTTTTTTAAATGTTTTTATTAATTTTCTAGAGAGAGAGGAAGGGAAAGAGAGATAGACACATTGATTTGAGACAGAAACATCAATGAGCTGCCTCCTGCATGCCCCCTACTGGAGATTGAGCCCACAATCTGACATGTGCCCTGACTGGGAATCCAGCCTCAACCTCTCAGTCCATGGTTCGATGCTTAGCTGGGCTCTTTGAGTAGTTTTTATAAATTTCTCACACCAAACTATTTCTGTCTTGTATTGCAATTATTTATGAGGAGCTCAGGCTTCCTTGATAGCTTTCTGAAGGCAGGGTTAATGTGATTTAATTTGCATAATCCGAGATCTATGCACAATGCCTAGCACAGAATGATGCTTCGAAAGTTGTTTTTAGCATAGCCATTCCTTTATTTATCAAATAGTTATTGAGCCATCAATAATTGTCAGGTATTTCTCAAGGCACAAAGCAGTTGAACTCCCTGACATGATGAAGCTTGGGGAGACAGAGTATAAGCAGTAAGTATCATAGATCAGCTATTTAAATGAAAGGTTAGAATACAATAAAAAATATGGTAAAAATACAGCAATGTAAAAGAAATCAGAGTAAAGAATGGATTGAAATGGTATGTAGGGTAACTTGGTTAGGGCTCATTGGGAAGGGAAGGTTTAAGCAACACAGATATAAACGAGTGAGTTCACTATGTGGGTATCTGGAGAAAATCTTCCAGGAAGAGGGAACAGCTTGCAGTAGGGGGCTGAGGCTCAAGCAAGCCTGATTTGGATGAGAAATACAAAGGGGAAAAGTGTGGCTGAAGCAAACAGAAAGAGGGAGAGTAGCAGGAGACTCAGTGGATTCAGTAAAGCATATTGTCCTCTCCAATGTGGGGTCACATCATATAGTGCACTGAGGGACTGAAGAGAACGAAAGGCAGAGGAAGGGAGAATTCACCTCTTCTCTGCCTGACTGCTGAGCTAAATCATCTTCCAAATAGGTATTACACCATTGCTTCCCCTGGTTCTCAGACTTTCGGACTGGGATTGAAATATAACACTGGCTTTCCTGCGTCTCCAGCTTCTGGACAGCAGACTGTGGGACTTCTCAGCCTGCATAATCACATGAGTCAATTCCTTATAATATGATCTCTTTATCTGTATCTCTACTTACATATATATGTATGTGTATATACATAGAGATACATATATATATATAGGTGTGTGTATATGCAGTTGACTCGTGAACAATATAGGTTTAAGCTGCATGGGTCTACTTATATGCATTTTTTTCCAATAAATATATTAGAATCATTTTTGGAGATATCTTTAGTATTTTGAAGCAAACAACAATTACACTAAGCTAGCATAAAGCAATTGCATTGCTGCTTCTTTATTATCAAGGCATGGATCATTATACCTGTAGATAAATACAAATTTCTTTTTCACATCATCTTTTCATTTTTCATGTTTAGTGTTAGTAATATGTATACCATCTACAGTGTTTTGTATCATGTAAGACAATGCCAATGTACATATTGATAGACAGTGGAATCATCTTGTATACAAATGATGTAAACTTACAATATCACTAAATACAGTATACTAGTGTAAATGTATCTTCTCTTCCTTATGATTTTTTCTTCCATCCATACTTTGTTTTGTCTTTTGAACTAAATTTATTGGAGTGACACTGGTAAATAAAACCATACAGGTTTCAAGTGTACAGCTCTGTAAAACATCTGCAAACCACATCCTGTGCTCACCTCCCAAAGTCAAGTCTCTTTCCTCCACCAATTGTCCCCCTTTTTCCCTTTTCTACTTTCCCCCATCACCACTCTCTTCTGGAAATTATCATACTATTATTGTCTATTTTTTAATCCATTTACTTTTGCACCCAGCCCCCACACCCCATTCCCCTCTGACAGCTGTCAATCTGTTTTCTGTATCTATGACTCTGTTTCTATTTTGTTTGTTAGTTTATTTTGTTCATTAGATTTCACATACAAGTGAAATCATATGGTATTTTTGTTTTTCTGACTGGTTTATTTCACTGAACATAATACTCTACAGGTCCAACTATGCTGTCGCAAAGGGTAGTATCTCCTTCTTTATGCCGAGTAATATTCCATTGTATAAATATATCACAGCTTTTGTATCCACTTATGTACAATAGGCACTTGGGCTGCTTCCATATCTTCACTATTGTAAATTATGCTACAATGAAATAGGGGTACATATATTCTTTCAAATTAGTGTTTACAGTTTCTTCAATATACTCTCAGAGGAGGAATCACTGGGTCATAAGGCAGTTATTCCATTTCTTACTTTTTGAGGAAACTACATATTGTTTTCCATGGTGGCTGCTCCACTCTGCATTCCCACCAACAGGCACAGGGTTTCCTTTTCTCCTCACAACACCTGTCATTTGTGGATTTATTGACGATAGTCATTCTGACAGGTGTGAGGTGATATTGTGATTTTAATTTGCATCTCTCTGATGATTAGTGTCGTTGAGCATCTTTTCATGTTAATTGGCCATCTGTATGACCTCTTTGGAGAAATGTCTATTAAAGTCCTTTGGCCATTTTTTTTTTTTTTTAAATTAGATTGTTTGTCATCCTGGTGTTGAACTGTATATGTTCTTTACATATTTTAGAAATTAACTGCTTATCAGATGTATCATTGGCAAATATGTTCTCCCATTCCTTGGGTTATCTTTTCATTTTGTTGATGGTTTCTTTTGCTGTGCAAAACCTTTTTAGTTTTATGTAGTCCCATTTGTTTAATTTTTCTTTTGTTTCCTTTTCCTAAGGATATATATCAGTAAAAATATTGCTATAAGAAGTATCTGAGATTTTACTGCCTATGTTTTCTTCTAGGATTTTATGGTTTTGTGTCTAATATTTAAGACTTTAATCCATTCTGAGTTTATTCTTTTGTATGGTGTATGGAGGTGATCTAGTTTCCTTTTTTTTTTTCGCATGTATCTGTCCAATTTTTGCAATATCAATTATTGAATAGATTGTCTTTATCAGTTGTATATGTATGTTCTTGCCTCCTTTGTCAAATATTAATTGACCATAAAGACATGGGTTTATTTCTGGGTTCTTTATTTTGTTCTGTTGTTTTATATGTCTGTTTTTATGCCAGTACCATGCTGTTTTGATTACTATGGCTTGTGGTATAGTTTGATATCAGGTAGAGTGACACCTCCAACTTTGTTCTTTTTCCTCAAGAATTTCTGTGGTTATTTGGGGTCTTCTGTGGTTCCACATACATTTTTGGAACATTTATTCTAGTTCTGTCAGATATGCCATTGGTATGTTAATAGAAATTGTGTTGAATCTATAGATTGCTTTGGGTAGTATGGGCATTTTAATGTTGTTAATTCTTCCTAACCATGAACATGGTATAGGTTGCCACTTTCTTATATCTTCAATTTCCTTCTTCAATATCTTATAATTTTTGAAGTGCAGGTCTTTCACTTCCTTGGTTGACTTATTCCTAGGTACCTTATTTTTTTTAAACAATTGTAAATAAGATTAGTTTTTCAGTTTCTCTTTCAGATGGTTAATTATCAGTGTATAAAAATGCAACTGAATTTGAATATGGATATTTATTTTGTATCCTGCTACTTTACTGAATTAATTTATCAGGTGTAGTTTTTTGTTTTTGTTATTTTTTGGTGGAGTCATTAAGGTTTTCTTATATAGTATCATGTCATCTGCAAATAATGACATTTTTACTTTTTCCTCTCCAATTTGGATGCCCTTTATTTCTCTTGTCTGCTTGCACTGGATAGGACTTTCAGTAAAATTTTGAATAAGAGTGGTAAAAGCAGACATCTCTGTCTTGTTCCTGATGTTAAGGGAAAATATTTTAGTTTTTACCCATTAAGTATGATGTTGGCTGTGGTTTTGTGATATATAGCCTTTAATATATTGAGGTATGTTCCCTCTATATCCACTTTGCTGAGAGTTTTTATCATAAATGGGTGCTGGATCAAATCAAACAATTTTTGTGCAACTATTGATATGATCATGTGATTTTTATCCTTCATTTATTTATGTGGTGCATTACATTCATTGATTTGCAAATATTGTACCAACCTTGCAACCCCAGGATATATCCCACTTGATCATGATGTATGATCTTTTAAATTTATTGCTGGATCCAATTTGCTAATATTTTGTTGAGGATTTTAGCATCTATATTCTTCAGGGATAAAGGTCTATAATTTTCTTTCTTTGTAGTATCTTTATCTGGTTTTT